TGCCTCCCTTGGGGCCCTCATGGGCCCTCTTGGAGCTGTCGCGAGGCCTCGGAAGGCCATCGGGAGCGGAAAGGCGATACAGCAAACACCATTGATGTCCCCCAGGTTGTTAAATGATGTTGGCCTCTTAGCGACCCCTTGGGAGGCTCCGTGGCCACCTGGAGCCGTCTTGGAGCGTTCTTGGGGCCTCTTGGAGGATCTGTGGAGTCATCTTAGGGCATCTTGGGCCATCTTCAACCATCTTGGATGTCATCTTGGGATCTCTGAGGCGCTCTTGGAGCCGTCGTGGGCGAAGACGCGCCCTCTGACACCTCGCGGGGCGCCCCCTCCAGGTCCAGGGGAGGGGGTAGGGGCAGGGATAATCTCATCCCCGAAGTGGACGAAGGGGGTTTGAATAACAAATTCTCTAGACAACCTGCGCCCTGAAGGGCCAGTGTGACCTAAAACTCGAACACCCTCCCTGCCGCCATGACTGAAACTCAGAAAGTAAGAGTCTCAACATAGCGCCATGCCGTAAACTCACACCAGCTATCTGTGTCATGCCGTACATTCACACCGAGCCCCAGAGGAGGAAAGGAGGGGAGGCGGAAGACGAAGGAGGACAAGGAGGAAAAGGCTGGAGGAAGGAGAGTAGGACGCGGGACGAAATTCAGTGGTGAGGAGTCACGGGGGAAGATAGACGGATCACCGATAACAGTGATGATGGCGAAGATAATGATGAGGACAATAGTGGCGAGGAGATGGAGGAGGCCGGCGAGAAGGAGGAGGATGAGGCGGAGGTCCAGTAGGAGGAGGACGAGAAGGATGAGGAGTTCTGGGGTCCCTTCCAGGAGGAGGAGAAGGAGGAGACAGAAATTAGAACATCGAACCAGGGTAAGGGGACGGGATCGAAGGTGATCATGATGGCAGTGCTGATGACGGTGACGATGACGTTGCTGTTGATGATGATGTTGATGATGGTGATGCTGATGCTGATGCTGCTGCTCATGCTGATGCTGCTTCTGCTGATGATAACGATGGTGATGATGAAGCTGCTGATGATGATGATGGTTGTGATGATGAATCTGCTGCTGCTGATGATGATGTGATCATGATGGTGGTGGTGGCGCCATGCTGCTGCTGCTGCTGCTGATGATGATGATGCTGCTGATGATGATGCTGATGATGTTAACGAGGTGGCGAAAGGAAGGAGGGGGGTAATAGGGGAGGAGGAAGAGGAGAAGGAGTGAGCAGAAAGGGGGCCCTCTTGACCCCCCCCCGTGAGCGAAGTTCTTAGGCCTCGGGCTCTTTTTAGCCCTGAGGTCCTGTGCGCGCGTCACGCACGTGATACGGAATGTGCGTATGGGTGTGTAGCGTATGTGTGAAACAACGTGAAGCAACCTTCAGGTCCTTCCTGCTGCACACTAAATTTGCTCTGTCCGCCCTCGTGCGCACCGTCGATGCCGTGCATAAATACATGTCCAGCCTGTATGCATACACGTTAACGTACAATATGTGTGGTTTGTTCGACCCCATGCAAAGCGTCGTTGTCGTGGACCATATGTTCCATATCTGGCTTTAGCACATAGCCGTTGCCGTGCACCAGCCCGCCACTAGCTGGCCACTATGATAGTCGCGTTTGCCGTGCACTAGCTGGCCACTCGCCGGCCACCATCTGGCCCCTCGGGGCCGCTTGAGCTCATGATGAAACAATGCTCGGGCCACCATCCGGCCATTATCAGAGGCACGCCACCACCGAGAGCTCCTTAATGACCCGCACCGCGTGAGAAGATGATTCCTCGCTGGGAACCTTCCCGAGGGATGGGGCTGTGCCGTCGGTTGGCGGTTCAATGCCTTGTGTGGCTCTTACCCGGCCTCTACGGAGCGGACCCGCCGTCCGCTTGTGTGTGGTCCTTGTCCGACGTCTGCAGGCTCGATCGTCTTGAGCCTTGAGGCTCATGGTGGTTCTCCCTCGCTGCGAGTCGGGGGCGGAAAAGAGGGGGGTGATGACTAGGGGGGGGTGGACATCATGGCGGGGGCCATGATATTTCCCGAGATTTTATGGCGCCTCTTCTTATTTCATTACGTCCCTGGCCCCCCCGCTGGGCCGCGCACATGCCGCTGGTCATGATTTGCACCCCCCCTCTTGGACACCCCCCTCTTGGCCGCTCCCGAGTTCTCCCTTGCTGCGACAGGGGATCCCGGTCGATAGTCTCCCAGCAGAAGTGCACTTGCAATACAGTCGGACTTGATTGGAGAGGACACGAGACCCTTCCGAAGGCCACGTTGCCACAGAACTGCAGGAGGCATGGGTCGCAAGACACAGGACACGAGGGCACCCTTGATCTGGCAGGGTCGACCTACTAATCCGGGCCGCCTGTAGAGGCCGTACGTGCTGCCCGTACATGTTCATCAAACGCTTAAGCAGCGGCTCGGATCGAGCAAACTTAAGAGCTCTCACAGTAACCACGCTCACCACCACATACGCTTAAGGGCCCTCCGCCGCGCTCTGCCATTCCGAAGCCTGGACTGGTGCAACGTAGCACTTGTTTCTGAATGCTTATCGCCAGTAGATCCTCGGGCCTGCGGGCAAGGCGATCTGGTGACGTCCGACACTCCTTTATGAGGTTGGCTGTTTTGGTGCCTGAGCTGTGGCAGCGGTCTCCTTCGGCCCACGGCCGTCCCCCTGAACCTTCCCTCTGCGACGTGTCAGTTGCATTGTCGGACGCGGCTAGGACGAGGATTAGTTCGTTCCAGAGTGTTCCGGGACGCTCTCAGAGCGTTCCGGAACGCTCTGAGAAGGTCGCGGCGCTCGAGGCATCCTCCAGAACCGCCAGATCTCAGAGATTCGAGATTTTCGATCTATCCTCACCCGAATTTGTCCTCGTCTTGTCTTCGTCTTAGACGTGTCCTTTGCATTGGGCCGGAGAGTTGGGGTGGTCACGGACTCTGTTCCGTGGATTGGACGACCTCTGCTGGCACAGTGCGGAGAGGTAGGACCACCAGTGCACTTATATGGCTTTCCGCCGCGCCTGCCGATACCGCAAGCAGGCGGATTTGGGGGCATGTGACCCCCTGGTCTGGGGGCCACATGCGAACCCTACCCCTACCCCTGACGATTTCTGAGGGGGAGAGTGGGGTTCGCATGTGACCTCCTACTGGTGCAGCACTGCGCACTCCAATCACATCCGCACGCTTTCAGCTGCGTGCCGATCTTGGTGGTCCCAGTCTACCTGCTTTCAAGAGGACCACTATCTCGTGCCTAGTCCAGGTACTGTTCTCACGTTCTAGCCAAAAGAGTCCATGGGCATACCGGGTGTCGTTACGCCACTTGACGCACTCGGGGGTGATACGTCTATAGACAACGCGGCCGCTGCGATCGGCGTAATGCAAGGTCGGAGAAAGGGTTGATCCGTCTTCGGTACGCTCCTGTTCTGGAGCAGGTCCCACATGGTACTCCAATGCTGATCCGCTCTCGCACTCCTGGCCGTGCCTGGGTATGCAGAGCCTGAGCCCATCCGCCCGTGAAACGTCGCTGCGCCGTCGGTGCGATGTGATAGCGTCTGCCGCTGCATGCGCATGAACGACATGTGTGGACAGCACTCAACCGGCAAATCGTGCCTGTTTGTTCCGCGGTTTTGCCAAATGTATTGGAACCGACTATTCATGCCACGGTCTTTGGGGATCATTTCCTCTGCGTACTCATGCCTGCGAACATCCACTGATCGATCGTCTCGAAAGCTCCTCGCAAGAGTCGATGCGAAACAGCGGCCTCAGAACCTCCAGCTTTGCACCCGGGTCACGAGTGCCACGGCATGTCAAGACGCTTGGTGTGATTGTATCAAAGGCGGCCCATGCAGATGGCATGCGAACAGAAGTGTGATTTGACCGGTCTGCACAAACGGAGTATTTGTGGCATTGCCGACGACACGCCATCCTCTCGTCGACAACTGCGTGACCAAGACGCCACCAACACGGAAAACGAGAAGCACGGAATGCAACAGATGTGGGTAAGTTCAAATATGCAACCACGTTGGCAAAGATGTCAGGAATACGTGGGAACCCGACGGTGACAACCCGCAAATGCAGCCACGATCCATGTTTGAATGTGAGTGTCAAGAAGATCACCGCCGGTTTTGGTACCCCGAGATCCTCGACGTTCTCCACTAAGCAGCCCCAGCATTTGTCACTTTCACACGGTCGAGGCCTTCTGCTCTGATCTACCCCTTAATGTTAGGGCCAAATTTGAGCGACGGTAGGTTCGCGTCTTGTCGACCGGCGGCGACCCCGCCGCCAGCGTTCAACGTTGAAAGCCGCCAGCGACCTAGAATCGGCTGGTGTTGAACGATCTGACGTCTCGGAAACGGCCGATCGCACAAGGTTGAACGATCTCCGCGGTGTCAGAAACCAACGCCGAAGTCGGCGCGACACGATCTTGCAAGTCTTCTCCTCCTCTTCCTCCGCCGGCCAAAATCCGCTCAATCCGAGCCCTGAATTCTCCTAAGATCCATCCTTGCCCGTTCTCCATCCCGGTGCATGTTTGATGGTCCCAGATCCCGAAACGGCTTCTAGACAGATGCCAACAATGATAAACAGCTCTTCATTTTTTCTTCCTCCCCCCAACCGCAGGAAGTCTAAGGGCTGCACCCCCCTCAAAGCTCTGGCTTGGCAATTCGGTGCGGGGTCGGCCGCCGAAATGCATTGCCCAGTATTGTTCGTCATGCTCGCTATTGCAGGGGATTTAGGAGTAGGAGTCCAACGACGCCAACAACGACGGCGACGGCGACGGCGGCGACGACGACGACCACGGTGGCGGTGGCGGTGGGGGCGAAATATTGTTTTGCCGACTATTGTTGAGTGTCAGGAACACTCAATTAGTCCACGAATAAATATTGCATTGACCCGCACCTCCAATCATCGACCCCTCTCGTCGGCGAGGGTCATTTGCCCGTCATCGGGGGCTTATCATCGACCTATCTAGGTCAACCTGCCCTCCTTCCCCTCTTCCCTCTCGCAACGGGCTGCCGAGGCCGTCGGTTGGGACGTTCAGACTGCGACGGAGCAGCTTTACGGAGGCTCGCTGGGCACCGCAAGCTTCAGCTTTCCTTCGTCGTCGTCATCGTCGTTGTCCTCGTCCTCCTCCTCCTCCTCCTCCCTCCTCCTCCTCCTCCTCCTCCTCCTCCTCCTCCTCCTCCTCCCCCCTTCTCCTTGCTGCATGTACCAGCTACCATAATCATAAAAGGACCTCTCGGCTCTCGGGCGAAGGAAGGCGTCGTCGAGCGCTGACGACCCGCCTCTGCCAGGGCTACAGGAAGATGCCACTTCTCGCCGAGCCGGGATAGTGACTCATCGTTTCTTCCCTTCTCGTCTCGTGCTCTCGACCGCCTGCCCTCTTCTTCTCGGCCAGTGCACTCCTCCTCCTCCTCCTCCTCCCTTCTCCACCCCCCTTTCTCCGTCCTCCCTTCTCCGTGATTTGGCCGCCCTCCTTCCTCGCCCCCTCTCCCTCTCTCCCTGCTCTTCGCCGTCGGGCCGAGAGAGACCCCGAGTTGGCCCACGCTGGCCCGCAGCAAGGCTCGGATACAGACGACCCGCAGAGTAAGGATAGGCGTCCCTCCCAAGGGTACCCTTGCATCCTTGCTTCCTGGCTTCATCCTTGGCCACTTTCGTTGGCCGCGCCCCGCTCGAAGAGCTTCGAATTGGGCGTCCAAGGCCCTTGCATCCTTATCGCGCATCCTTACTCTGCGGGTTGACCGTGTGCACCTCTTGCAGGCCGCCGAAAGTGCCCCCCTACAGGCCCACGGTAACTAGGCCCCCCCCCCAAATAATTTCAGTAGGGCGGCTGTTCGCGGCGTCGGAGCCATGCTTCCGCGCCGCCAGGACCCCAATGGGGGCGCATGAGAAGCACGAAGGAGTCCTCGTACAAGGTGTCAAGGTGCGCTCAAGAGAACCTAACAGGAACACTGCATGCTGTTCACCAGGTAAACGTGGCCTCGAGATGCCACATCCACGTATTTTCATCGCGAGCTCCCCTGCCCTCAGAAATCCCACGGCGCGCCCAACGAGTATCGAGGAGCACTGTTGAAACCGCCAAGGGGTGTTCACATGTGCCCACGAGGCCCCAAGAGTGCTTCATGAGGCCACCCAAACGTTTCCATGACGGCGGAGGCTCCCGATGCGAGCATATTGGTTTGCTGTCGCCAGCCCCCTTGTCGCCAGCAGCCTCAAGATGTACGTCGCAATCTCGTAGATCGGACCTGTGGAGGCTCTCGACGTGCCACCTTACCCCCTCCGTGTCCTCCTCCTCCTTTTCTCCTCCTCGTTCATACTCCCATTCTTTCTATCTCGTCCTTCTCCATAGCATCCCCCCTCCCCCTCCCCGTCGCCCGTCGTCGCCTTCGGCGCGCTCCCCTATTGCAAACATGATCGAGGAGGCTCCCCGATAAGCCCCGACAAGGCGCTGTACAACATGGAGGAGGAGGCGGAAGAGGAGGAGGCGGAGGAGGAGGAGGAGGAGGAGGAGGAGGGGGAGGACGAGATCAGGAGGAGAAATGGTGACGAGGATGACAAAGAGGAGTGGGCGTACCACCTCCCCAGAGTCTGGGGTCGTCCCAGAGCCTGCATGGCAATTTCTGCAGACTACTTATTTGCGGCCCCCCCCGCCTAAGTTTATGATTCGAGCGTTGCTCGCCATCCCCCGACCAGGGTATATGTTTTTCATTTCGGAATTTGGTCGGGCGGGGCTCCCCCAACGACCAAAGGTCAGCCAGCCACCATGTAATCGTGGAAACGCGAACATGAATTGAGGCGCATGGATTAGTTACATGTCCTGTTTCAGTGCGGAATCGGCGCGCTACGTCGCCACATCAGGCGGCATTGGCCTCATGTTTTCAGGGGGGTCCCCGATCCGTGTCAGTGTGCGCCCGATGTTCGCCGTGGAATCTGGAGTTCTTCTGCTGCGACTCTGTGGCCCTGGTCCGTCCCGGGCCCTGCACCGTTGCCCTGCCAGCAGCCCTCGCCGCGGGTGGCGAGCCCCTTGCTCGGGGGCCCCGAAACCGTGTGGTGACGGACCGCGTGGTGAGGGAACGCGTAATGACCTCGGAGACCCCATCGATTTCACCACGCGGTCCGCCACCGCACGGTTACGGGACCTCGGGGGCCCCAGTCGCCCGAGATGTCTTCGGAAAACGACCCGAGACCCACAACCGTGCGGTGACACCGCTTCCCCCCACCTGGACGATTTCGCCCGGGGCCGTAGGCGACCCGAGGAGGGGAGGGGGAGGAGGAGGGGGAGGAGGAGGAGGAGGAGGAGGAGGAAGAGGAGGAGAAGGAGGAGGATTTGGAGGAGGAGGAGGAAGAGGAGGAGGAGGAGGACGAAGACGAATAATAGCAATAGTAATAATAAGACGAAACAGACTAATAATAATAAGAACAATGATAAGAAGAAGGAGGAGACGGATGAGGATACTAATACTATTACGAATAAGGGTTCTATTAAACATGCGAATAATAATACTAAACAAAAGAAACGAATGCGCATAATACGAATACTCGTACTAATAGCTTTAATACCAATAAAAACAAAACTAATACAGCGAATTCGAATAATAATTGTAATCATACCAATGCGACGCGTAATACAACTACTACTAAGACGATACTCATACTCATATTAAGCACAATAATAACAATATAATTAATGCTAGTAACACTAGTAAAACGTTGAATAACAACATTAACTGACTTTAATAAGAGTACTACGAATATTAACAACAGTGAATTAGTCATAATAAGAAACTAATGAGAATAATACTACGACTAATAATAATAGTAATGCAAAGAGGAGGCGGAGGACGAGGAAGATGAAGAAGAAGAGGAGGAGGAGGAGGAGGAGAGATGAGGAGAGAGGAGGAGAGAGGAGGAGAGACGAGGAAAAAGGAGGAGAGAGGAGGAGAGAGAGAAAGAGAGATGAGGAGGAGCAGGGAGGAGGAGGGGGAGGAACGAGGAGAGGAGGGAGAGCAGGCGGGGGTCCGACGAGTAATGATAGGAAGGAGAGGAGGAGGAGAGGAGGCGGAGGAGGCGGAGGTGGAGGAGGAGGAGGAGGAGGAGAGGAAGGAGGAGGAGGATGAGGAGGAGGAGAGAGGAGGAGGAGAAGGAGAGGAGTGGGAGAATGGGAATGGGGAGGATGAGGAGGAGGAAGGAGGAGGGAAGGGATGAGGATGAAGGAGGAGGACGGAGAGCAGGAGGAGGAGCAGGAGGAGGAGGAGGAGGAGGAGGACGGGCTGCCTAAGCCCTGTGTCGGTCCCCGTTCCGTCTGATGGCCCCCCGACTTTCCCCTCGCACCCGCTCGCCTTGCCCCGCTCGTCGCGTGCTCTCTTTCACAGACACCGCACGCGTAGCGCACCCGGCCGCCCTGGCGGCCGCCCTGCCGCCGTCTGCGGCCCTTCGACTGGAGGGTTTCTCCGAAGGGCTTAGGCGACCGTCCTCCTCTCTCCTCCTCCTCCTCCTCCTCCTCCTCCTCCTCCTCCTCCTCATCCTCATCCTCCACCTCCTCCTTCCTCCTCCTCCTCCTCCTCGTCCTCCTCCTCCACCTCCTCCACCTCCACTCCTCTTCCACCTCCTCCCCTCCTCCTCCTCACGAAACATCCCCCTCCTCCCCCTTGTGTCCCTCTCTCTCCATCCTCCTCCTCCGCCTCTGCCCCTACCTCCTCCTCCTCCTCCACCTCCTCCTCCTCCTCCTCCTCCTCCTCCCCACCTCCTCCTCCCCCCTCCTGACCCTCGGTGTCTCCTCCTCTCCTCCTCCTCCTCCTCCTCCTCCTCCTTCTCCTCCTCCTCCTCCTCCTCCTCCTCCACCTCCCCTCCTCCTCCTCCCTTCCTCTCCATCCCCCTCCTCCTCCTCCCTCCTCCTCCTCCAACTCCTCCCCCCCCTCCGCCACCGCCTCCTTCCTCCTACCTCCTCCTCCACCTCCTCCTCCTCCTCCTCCTCACTCCCCTCCCCCTCCTCCTCCTCCTCCTCCTCCTCCGCCATCCTCCTCCTTCTCCTCCTCCTCCTTCCTCCTCCTCCTCTTGCCTCCTCTCCCCCATCTTCCTCAAACCCTCCCTGGCTCCTCGGCCTCCTCCTCCTTCTCCTCCTCCTTCTCCTCCTCCTCATCATCCTCCTCTTCGGGTCGCCTACGTCTCCAGGGGGAACCGTGCACCTTCGCCCTCGTCGTGGCGCCCTCGAGAAACGAATATCCGAATGGGGCAGTTCTACATGAACACCGCCGGGAAGATCGATCCTCGGAGGCCTCGGGAGGCGATGAATGCTGATGCAGTCGGGGCCTGGGGGGGAACATATATGTCCTTATCTCTTTGGGTGTTTGTCGGCGCCTCACCCTTTTGGGCGCCGTACTGTGCAGGTGGTCTCGGCCCCCCGCACCTCCCACTATTGCCCCGCGTAATCCCGCCCATTCTCTCCCCGAGAACTGTGGCCGAGCAGCAGAGAGGCGCAATCTTGCATGCACGTCTGATGTCTGGCAACGTCATCTTCGGCGGCAGAAGTCTGGCACGCGATTCGCTTCCTGACCTCCCCCCTGCCCCTCGCTTGAACGCTCGCTCTCCATTCTGATGCTTAGGCTCTCTGGCTTGGGTGGCGCGCTCGCTGCTGCCGCACTTGGCGGTGGGTCATTATTGGCGTCCGCTTGGGCCTGAACCAACACCTCCTTCCTTCCTTCCTCCCCTCCTTCCTTCCTTTTCCCTTTCGCCCCCCCCCTCTCTGAGAGGAAACGCGGTGATGGCGGGTGTATTTTTTGGGGGGTGGAGAGGGCGGGAAACTCAACAGGGGGCTGCCGCGCAACGTGTGTGGGTTTTTGTGGGCGTCGTGGTCGATGTTTGGGGTCTGGTGGAGCCTCTGGGAGGCAGGATTGAAGCGTGTTGGGGGCCGCCTAGGGGCCTCTGTTGGGCTTCTGGGGGGCCTCTTGGGGCTTCTTGGGGGGGATCTGTTGGGCCGCTTGCCGGCTTCTTAGAGCCTTTGGGGGGCCTCTTGGGGCGGACAGAATTGATGTTCGGTTCGCGCTCTCCCTCGTCGCCTCTCTTGGGGCCCTCTTGGGGCGACCTTTGGCCGTCTTGGGCTCCTCTCTGGGCCGTCTTGGAACCCGCTTGGGCCGTCCTGGGGCCCTCCTGGGGGCCTCTTGGGCAGTTTTGGGGCGGTCTGCGGGGCCTCTTGGGCCGTCTCGGAGCGCCAGAAACTCGAGAATGTTTGTTGGGTGTCGTTTACAAGTTGTTTCGCGCGGGCCCCCGCGCCGCCGCGGCAGGACTCACTGCGAATCAAGCGTGAAGAGCGCGGTTCGGGACAGGTCGACGGGCCGATTTGAAGCAGGATGGCCCAGACGTTCAAGCGTCGATGTCCCGCCGCCCCCCTTGCCCCTCAGTGTCCACCTGCTTCTCCCCCCATCCCTCCTTCCATCCCCCTTCCCCTCTTCCTTCCCTTCGTGTTTGTTTTGTCCTGCTCCCCCGAGGGTCAGAGTTCGAGGCCTGTCAGGTGTTGCGCAAATAACTGACTTGAACCCCGCGAATTGTTTAGTGTTCATTGTTCACTGTTTATTGGTCCTCCCTTCTCTGCCTCATATCCTCCGCCTCATCCTTCCCCCCTCGGTTCACGCCAGGCTCAACCTCTCGGTGATGTTGTGCGGACTGTGTTATAGCGACGGGTTGTTTTTACCCTGTCGCGCGCAGTTACGTCTTTGACGTCGCTCTTGGAGCGCGGCGCGTTCGGGGCACAGTGTGCCTCAATGGTCGTCTCCTGATTGTTATTTGTTTGTTCAGCATGTGCGTTTTGCGTGGATGCCCTGGGCGCTCGAATGGTGGCCGATGCGTTTCGCACCTGAGTTTGCGGGTGTTCGCGTTGCTGACGATTTATTGGTGCCGCACTACGCCGTAGTGCAATGCGGCACCTTGCAAATGCCCGCTTCTGGTTATGCTCCAGGGACCTCGAAGTGATGCGTGGTGGTAGTATGTGCAGCGCTGCTTATGGGGATGTTGCAATGAATCGTTGGCCATGTTGGTCCGTGCTTACGGTGCTCCGAAGCTCATGGGCCCGCCTTGGGGCGGTTTCGGCGTTTGCGTTACCAGTGCGCCGTGCGCCACGTGGGGTTTGCGACGTCTCAAAGTCGTGCGGTCCGCCCGAGACTTTCGCGGACATCCGCCAGGTTTCTCCAGAATGCTGCAGACTCGCCAGATTTGATTTCTCCAGACTTCTGTAGACTTCTACAGACTTCTGCACAATTCTTCAAGACGCGTTTTGGGACCCGAAGAGTGCGGACCCCAGAAGGTTTTAGTGGTTATCCACCGCCCGCTGGGTCGGCATCTACATAGTTCCTCGGAGGTCCGCGCGGCTTCGCTTGTCGGCGCCGGGCTCCCCTGGCAGTGCCAATGGCGCCGCCCCGGACAGGGTCCGGCGCAGATCTGAGAAATCCGCGCGGACCTCAGAGTAATCATGCTCATGAAGCTGTTGGTTTATCTAAGTTCACTCTCCCTCCTCCTCCCTCCTCGCCTTCCCTCCTCCTCCCTCCTCCCCCTCCTCCCCCCTCTTCTCCTCCTCCTCCTCTTCTCCTTCTCCCTTTCCTCCTTCTCCCTCCTCCGCCCTTCCTCCTCCCTTCCCCATCCTCGCCCTCCTTCCTCCCTCCTGTCTCTTCCGCCCTCCTCCCTCCCCCTCCCGCGTTCTTCGCTCTTCCGAACGACGTGCCTGTGGGACCTCGCACTGGAGTCCCTCCCCTCCCGCCCCTCGTCCCCTGTCCACCCCCTTTTCTCTTCTCGTCATCCTCCTCCTCCTGAGCCCTGAGCCCTGACGGCATGAACGCCGTTCAGACGTTGCCACCGTCCTCCTCCTCCTCCTCCTACCCTGAGCCTATCCTCTTCCTTTTCCCTCCTCTCCTCTTCCTCCTCCTCCTCCTCCTCCTCCTCCTCCTCCTCCTCCTCCTCCTGCTCTTCCTCTGTCGCCTCCCCGGTGAGGCCAGCCGACGCCCGCGCGGGGTGCCACGCCCATGCAGGTGGGGCTGGGACGGGCCTGCGGCACGAACGGGCACGTGCGGAGAGTGTGGTGTGCGAGGCATTGATCCCCCCTCCTCGGTGATCCTCGGGACCCATCTCCACTTCTGAGAAAACGCTACGGTCGTTTTTTTGTTGTTTGTCGGCCTCGGAAGGCCCCCGCCAGGCCCGGGGTCCGTCGCAAACCAAAAGCTCAGGAGGAGCAGGCCCCTGAGAAAGCGTCGCGACCCCTTGGGGACGACGGGGAGACCAATAATCATGGCGTTTGGGTCTGGGGAGAGGAAGGGGAGCTGAACGGGGGTTGGGGAGGAGGGGGGCCAGACGAGCAAGAGGAAGGAAGAGGAGGCGGGGCTGGACGAACGCTACAATCCTGGCCGATCCAAGTTTGCCTAACGTGGGAAAAGAGCGGCGGAGCTGAAGGCAGTGGCTGGAGCCAGCCCTCCCGTCTGGTCCAGCCCTTGCCAGTCTCCCAAGCTTTATCTCCTGCACTGGCCAGCCTACCTCGAGTATTTCGAGCTCCTTTCGGCCCCGCCAGGTCTTTCCAGCCATGCCCGCCGTCGTTTTGCTGGGATGTTCACCCCCATCCTCCTGCTGCTGCTTCTCCTCCTCCTTTTCGTGCTTATCTTGCTTATCCTTCCACGTCGTGGATGACAGCGGTTGCAAGTATGTTGATGGTGGGTGTGGAGGTGCTAGAGAGGATGGAGCACGAATCTGTTGATCATGGTAGCAACATGAATGTGGGTGATTGATCTTTGGTTTACGCCGCACCGCCGGCCCCTTGGGACTCCTGCGTATCAGTGTAGCGGCCCGTGCAAGAGAAGACTACCGAAGTCGGCGTTCTCCGTGAGCCCTACCAATGTCGCGCGCGACGAAAAGAAGGGCACCCTGAAGTGCAAGCCATGCAAATGTTGACCAATCGAACGCGCGTGCTGGGGATGAAAAGGAGGACGGGGAGAGAAACATGGGGGGTGAGGCGGAGGATGGGGGGGACAAGAGTCGAAGAGGATGAGGATGAGCTGGATGGGGGGAAGAGGAGGAGGGGGGCGAGGAGGAGGTGGAGGAGGAGGAGGTGGAGGAGGGAGGGGGAAGGAGGAGGAGGAGGAGGAGGAGGAGGACGAGGGGGACACAGAGAGGAGGCTCTGGGCTATGGGTTATGGGTTAGAGGCTTCTTGCATGTGTATCGGGATCTCGCGGCACGCCTCTCGGGGGCCTCCCGAAGGCAGTTTTGAAGCCACTTGGGGGCCGAGGTGGAGGAGGAGGGGGAGGAGGAGGAGGGGGACACAGAGAGGAGGCTCTGGGTCATTCTTCTGGGTTAGATGCTTCTTGCATGTGTATCGGGATCTCGCGCCACGCCTCTCGGGGGCCTCTGGAAGGCAGTTTTGAAGCCACTTGGGAGCCGTTTCGGAGCTTCTGGGGGTCTTGGGGGCTCCTTGGGGGCCACTTGGGAGCCGTTTGGGGCCTCCTGGGGGCCTCTTGGGGGCTCCTTGGGGCGTCTTGGGGGCCTCTTGGGAGCCTCTGGCGGCCTCTTGGGGCACTCTTGGGGCTCCCTGGGGCTCCTGGGGGCGGAAAGCTAGATGGTTTGAATTTTTGGTCGCCCTCTGGGGCCCCTCCTGATGCCGTCTTGTAGCACTCTTGGGCCGTCTTGGGGACCTCTTGGGCCGTCTTGGAGCTATCTTGGGCCGTTTTGGGGCCGTTTCGGGGGCCTCTTGGGCCGTCTTGGGGCTGTCTTCGGGGCCTCTTGGGCCGTCTTGGAACGTCGGGAAGCCGAAAAGGCGAAAAGGCAAATTACGCTACCGAGGAACACCACATACTTGATGTTCAATCTTATGTGCTTGCTTAAGGTTTTCATATATGCGCAATTCTGCGTTCTCAGCCCTCGTCGCGAATGTTCCCCTCTGTGTCATCCAACGCCATATTGCTTGAACCTCCTCCCTCTCCCTAGCATTCTATCCTCCATCGAGGACAGATTCGAGCCAGCCAGCGGCCGCGGTGAGGGACCACCCCCTGCGCACCCTCTATGTTGTCGAGAACGTGCCACGCCTGCTAGGCCCTGGACGACCGTCGTGCATGGCGGCCGCGGTGAGGGACCACCCCCTGCGCAACCTTTATGGTGTCGAGAAAATGCCGCGCCTGCTATGCCCTGGACGACCGTCGTGCATAGCGGCCGCGGTGACGGACCACCCCGGTGAGAGACCACCCCCTGCGCACCCCCTCTGCAGTCGAGAAAATGCCACGCCTGCTAGGCCCTGCGACATTGGCGCGTATAGGGGCCGCGGTGAGAGACCACCCCCGTGCGCACCCCCTCTGGTGTCGAGAAAGTGCCACGCCTGCTAGGCCCTGCGACATTGGCGCGTATAGGGATCGCGGTGAGTGACCACCCCCTTGCGCACACCCTGCGGTGTCGAGAAAGTGCCACGCCTGCTAGGCCCTGCGACATTGGCGCGTATAGGGGCCGCGGTGAGAGACCACCCCTTGCGCACCCCCTTCTGGAGTCGAGGAAAGTGCCACGCGCTGTATACATGCGACATTGGCGCGTATAGGGACCGCGGTGAGTGACCACCCCCTTGCGCACCCCCTGCGGTGTCGAGAAAGTGCCATGCCTGCTAGGCCCTGCGACATTGGCACGTATAGGGACCGCGGTGAGAGACCACCCCCGTGCGCACCCCCTCTGGTGTCGAGAAAGTGCCACGCCTGCTAGGCCCTGCGACATTGGCGCGTATAGGGACCGCGGTGAGAGACCACCCCCTGCGCACCCCAGGCCCTGCGACATTGGCGCGTATGGAGACCGCGGTGAGGCCCACCCCCTGCGCACCCCCTCTGGTGTCGAGAAAGTGCCACGCCTGCTAGGCCCTGCGACATTGGCGCGTATAGAGACCGCGGTGAGAGACCACCCCCTGCGCACCCCCTCCGGTGTCGAGAAAGTGCCACGCCTGCTAGGCCCTGCGACATTGGCGCGTATAGGGGCCGCGGTGAGAGACCACCCCCTGCGCACCCCCTGCGGTGTCGAGAAAGTGCCACGCCTGCTAGGCCCTGCGACATTGGCGCGTATAGAGACCGCGGTGGGTGACCACCCCCACGCACCCCCTGCGCCACCCTGCGACATTCTAGGGACCGCGGTGTGCGAGAAAGTGCCACGCCTGCTAGGCCCTGCGACATTGGCGCGTATAGGGACCGCGGTGAGAGACCACCCCCTGCGCACCCCCTCCGGTGTCGAGAAAGTGCCACGCCTGCTAGGCCCTGCGACATTGGCGCGTATAGGGACCGCGGTGAGAGACCACCCCCTGCGCACCCCCTCTGGTGTCGAGAAAGTGCCACGCCTGCTAGGCCCTGCGACATTGGCGCGTATAGGGGCCGCGGTGAGAGACCACCCCCTGCGCACCCCCTCTGGTGTCGAGAAAGTGCCACGCCTGCTAGGCCCTGCGACATTGGCGCGTATAGGGACCGCGGTGAGAGACCACCCCCTGCGCACCCCCTCCGGTGTCGAGAAAGTGCCACGCCTGCTAGGCCCTGCGACATTGGCGCGTATAGGGACCGCGGTGAGAGACCACCCCCTGCGCACCCCCTCCGGTGTCGAGAAAGTGCCACGCCTGCTAGGCCCTGCGACATTGGCGCGTATAGGCCGCGGTGAGAGACCACCCCCTGCGCACCCCCTGTGGTGTCGAGAAAGTGCCACGCCTGCTAGGCCCTGCGACATTGGCGCGTATAGGGACCGCGGTGAGAGACCACCCCCTGCGCACCCCCTCCGGTGTCGAGAAAGTGCCACGCCTGCTAGGCCCTGCGACATTGGCGCGTATAGAGACCGCGGTGAGAGACCACCCCCTGCGCACCCCCTCGGTGTCGAGAAAGTGCCACGCCTGCGAGGCCCTGCGACATTGGCGCGTATAGGGACCGCGGTGAGAGACCACCTCCTGCGCACCCCCTGCGGTGTTGAAAAAGTGCCACGCCTGCTAGGCCCTGCGACATTGGCGCGTATAGAGACCGCGGTGAGAAACCACCCCCTGCGCACCCCCTCTGGTGTCGAGGCCCTGCGACATTGGCGCGTATAGGGGCCGCGGTGAGAGACCACCCCCTGCGCACCCCCTGCGGTGTCGAGAAAGTGCCACGCCTTCTAGGCCCTGCGACATTGGCGCGTATAGAGACCGCGGTGAGAGACCACCCCCTGCGCACCCCCTCCGGTGTCGAGAAAGTGCCACGCCTGCTAGGCCCTGCGACATTGGCGCGTATAGAGACCGCGGTGAGAGACCACCCCTTGCGCACCCCGTGTGGTGTCGAGAAAGTGCCACGCCTGCTAGGCCCTGCGACATTGATTGGCGCGTATTGGGACCGGGGTGAGAGACCACCCCCTGCGCACCCCCTCCGGTGTCGAGAAAGTGGTAGACGCGTGTCTCATGTACTTGCCGTGCACGCGTTGAGCGCGGTTGAGGAGAGGAAGGAGGAGAGAGGAGATGAGGTGTGAGGTGAGGTGACCAGGTGAGACGCGGGTGCGCCGCGGCAGGGAAGAAAACCAGAACCCCACGAAACATGTGGGGGAAAACACAGAAAAACACAATCGGAAATCAACAATTTTAGCCTCTCGGGGCCCTCTTGGGAGGCTTGTTTGGGACCTCTGGGGCCGTCTTGGAGGCCTCTTGGCCCGTCTTGGGGCCATCTTGGGCGTCTTGGAGCGCTCGTTTAGCGTCGGGGCCCTCGTGGGCCGTCTTGGAACCCTCTTGGGGCCTTCTTGGCCCATCTTTAAGCCCTCTTGGGCCCGGAAGAGCCCGTGGTGCGCTCGTCGACCCCCCCCCCCCTCCAAATCGACCGGACCGGGCTCCCGGGGGAGGGGTTTGGGGAGGGGGGAGCATCTCACACGCCGATGATCCCCAAGGGGTCGGCGGATTATCATGCTGACGATGATGCTGAGTTCATCAAGCACATGCTGGGTGCAAGTGCGAGCTCGGCTTTATTTGGTTCCGTGTTCGGCGCAGTGTCGCAGTTTGAATGTTGTTGAGTCCTGTGACGTATTGTAGCGATTCTCCTTGTCGTTCTTCTCCTCACTTATTGTGCTGTAGGCGGTATGAGGGTCACCTCGCAGACACCGCTTTAGATTACAT